GTAGTAGTAGTAGTAGTAGTAGCAGTCCAATCGAAGACAAGAATCAAAATCACAGTTTCAAGTGGTTGAGGAGCTGTTTTTTCTTTGAAAAGCAAAAACAAGGCTGCGAAAAAAGCCTTTCAATGAACAAAAACAACAACCCCACGACCACCCGAGCATCACGACCCTACGGCTACTGGCATTCAAGACCCACGAGTGCGCACCATGTGCCTGAAAGATTCGACTCATCCAATCAGTGTGAGCTCAGTAGAGACTCCCAGGAGCAGCAAAAAAAGCAGGCAGACCGCAACAAACACGAGCGTCACGTTGGAACAATTGTGGCCCAGACGCGAGAACGGTGTTTCTCGAGGTCGTCGGAGGGGTTCCTTACCAGATCAAGGTTGCGACCTCGGCGGCGCTGCTGAAGGTCTTGTCATGTCTTGTCCAATTCTTTTCTTCCCCTCCTTGCAACTTCACGTGTGTTTCTGGTGATTTCCATGGCTTCAATCACTCAGGGAAGTGGATGATTCATCAATTGTGCTCACAACTGGACTGTGTGGCACAATCAAATCAAGGAGTGCCAAGCTTATATACCAGGGATTGCCGATTACCGCAAGAACGACTAATCAGCGCTGGTCTGAAGTGCTTGGCAGTACTTGGGCAGAAAACGCCGAGCAAGAGAAATGAAAAATGGCGATCTGAACAACAATACAGGCCCTGCGACATAAAGTCAGCTATGTGGAGAATCTATCAAAGAGTCCTGGTATCGATGCCGGCAGCGGGAAAATGTCTGCGCATCAAGTGTGAGACAGACCGATGAACGGGAAATGTATCAATTTCTCCAGTAGTTACAGTATAGTTACGAAGTCACCAAGCAGTTACAGTTCCACCTGCTCGGCCGGAGTGCTCTCAACAGTGGACACTTCCAGAAGAGGGCCAGTGAGATGTCAAAAAGGTAGAATCGGAAAATGACCTCCTCTTCAGCTGCCGTTCCAGGCCGTTCCGCACCAAGCTGCTCGTGGCCACAACATGGAAGCGCCGCGCGGTGGGATGACGCGCGCGGGATGAAAGTCACGGGGCACCCGTCGGAAGCCGGGAACCCGCGTGGGAGCTGGAACCGAAAGGGCGGGGGAACCGCAGAAAGCCTGCGTGTGGTTCAGGTGAGAAGTCCTGGCAGCCTCAGGTGCCAGCGAGCTGTAGGCGAATCAATGGCAACCATCTCCCAAAACCAGCTTCTGGGGTGAAATGTCAGGATCTTCAGGGTTCTTTAGGTGAACAATTGTGCAGTACATGCACCTGATTGTATCTGAGGATCGTAATCTAAGAGAAGCGCAGATGGGGGCTGTCGTGAAAGACATATCTGAGCCCGAACAATCAACCCTCTGTCCGAGCATGCCCAGGTCAAAATAAAGAACTTGCGCTTGAGGAAGACTTTGTTCACCAGAATGGACCATGGATGTGGATGGCGTCCCTTGGAAATGGTCCCTGTCCCAGTCCTCTTCCGAAGTAGGGAGGCGCTTGTCCACTTCGAGGGTCAGTGGCCGCCAGTCAGCCGGCTCCCAAACCACTAACCTCTGCCAAAGCCAAAACGCAGGTGAAAATCCGTGAAAGGGCTCGTCATTCATGCAGAATTAAAGACTTCTAAATCATCCTGTCTACCGCTCCCACCACCTCACCTCACGACACAGGTAAAACCGCGCAAGAACAAGAATCCAAGAACACGCCCCCACGCAAACCCGCGCCCGCCGTAAGTCTCTACGCAAACCTGCACGCGTCTCGACGAAAACGATCGCCGGGCTCGTCTCCCTTCTTTTTGTCAGCTCAGGGGAAGCCTCGGGATTCGAGGCTTGCCGTCGCCCACCTGGAATCCGAAGCGTCGGTCTGAGGTGGTGTCCACCGGTGGGCTCCACACGGCAGGAGCCAAGGAGGTTTGGAAGCCCCCAATGCGGTGGGAGTGGGAGTAGAACTCTTTTTCTGGCCTTCCAGAAGTTTCCGGAGTTTTTAAGAGTGCAGCTCGGTGCTTGGGTTCTGGTTATCCCACAAAAAGGATCTTTTAGATGCTAAAAAAGCCTCACGTTCTGTTCAAATCTGCAATAATTGCCACAATAGTCGCCACCTCTGGTTGCAAGACTTGGTGTATTATACAGTGCTTTGTTGCTGTGACCTGTAATTCTGTGTAGTTCTCCTCGGTGGTGATGCTCTCATTTACTCCCAAATAAGTCCATCTCCTCGAGGGCTGTACCCACCATCTCCTTCACCATTCCCCAACCAGGTCATGACCGCCACCTACACGTGCATCTCGGAGAAACGCCAGCAACATGCCCCCCCCCAAAACGCCACCTCCCAAACGGCCCAAAACGGTCGAAAACGCGGGGCGCAACAGACAGCGGTTTCCCTAGGCTTCCAACCACCATTTAGTTTAATAGGCTTTACCGAATCAACCAAGGATTTTACACTAACTACAAAAACAAGGTCAACCATTTTTTAACGGTCTTGGAAGTCTAGGGGTTTGTCCCGTGGCCTCCTCTTCAGTACGGTGCAACATCATGAAGTCCACCACCTCGCCCAGCGCGCAGTAGACCTCGATCGACATCGACCCTCGTCTGACCAAACATTGCCCATCCGGCTCGACCGAAGTCGAGTTTTCGAGAACTCGGTCGGGTGAGCTCCAAACATGTCAGCCCAAAACTCTCCAAATTGATGAACCCGAACCACTTCCTCTCCTGAAGTCCCCCCGATCGTCCCCCGCAACCACTTACTCACCCCCCGCAATTCAGGTCGACGCAACCGGCGCCCGGGCCGTGTTCGCCGGGCTCCAGCGATCACCGGAGAAGATCTGGTCCATGGGCACCTGGTGCGACCCACCGGAAGAAGCGGAGACTCACTCCGTGCGTTGGATGTCAGCGGAGACTCCGTGCGTTGGTAACAGGGGGTCTGGAGACTGGTGAAACGGTGAGTCTGGAGCTGGTTCTTGAAACTGAGAAACCATCTGAAGAGGTCAGAGCGAGCTTCGTTTTCACATGAATTCACCATCCTTGGGAAAGTACGGTGACAGCTGTGATCATCCACCAGCTAGCTTTTGGCCACTGATCCATGAAGACTGCTTGCTCAGCTGCCTCCTGGCCATCCAGCAAGAGGCTTCCCTCCAGCCGCACGGGTTTCAAAGGGTACTCCGCCTGGGCCGGTTCCATGGTCTGTGGTGTTTCATGGAGAGTTTGCCCGGTGCCATCAAGTCCTGTTCAGGAAGTGAACTAAGAAATAGTGCTAAAAGATGCTAAAAGTGACTCCATGAGTTGCAGGGTTGGGACGATCTCTACACTGGACCAGTGGGGAAAAGAAGGCATCTGTTCGTGGCTGACTCCACAAATCAATCCAACACATCCTGCCAGCCTCCGCTAAACGCTTTTGTCTTCCCGCACCACGACACGCTCTCCCATGTCATGTGGTGCTGGGCAACAGCTCCAGGACTGCTCCAGGACTCAGGGGGAGCAGAGATGTTGTGGAAGGTCAGAAGATCCCATCCACCAGGAGTCACAAAGGGGTGCCGAACTTGGAGGAAGTCGGGGTGCCCCTGTCACATCCACTCACTGGATGGGACGAGCCACACCACCCCGAGCTCTGTGACCCCTGGCAGAAAAGTTCCCAAAAGAGAAGGTGGTCTTCTCGGGTGAACACCTCCAACCCCGGATCACGTTCACACCCCCCAACACACGAAGACGAACACCCCAACACACCCGGGTCGGGACGGCAGGATGGCGGAATCGGGCCGCGCGACGGGCGAACTCGTTGGGGGTAGGTCTAGCTGTCGACCTGTCCGTCCTGGACTCTCCTGCCAAGGGACGGGAAAGGTCACCACGAACTCCACCATCTCACCCTGGCGAGAGGGGTCCACGAGGCCCAGGGGAGGCCAAGGCTGGCGGTTGCTTTCGGAGATGGCGGCAAGAAAAACGTGGTGACACCACAAGCAGCCATGGAGGGCTAAGTAAGCAGCCATGGTATCTGTAGATGTTTTCTATGTTGTTCAGGGTGTGAGTGCTGGCTGAAAGTCTTCGCATCTGGGTCCACCGTTCACTGGGAGAACCAAAACCGACCAGTTTGCCAGTTCTTCCACTGGCTCTTTGGGCCTCTGGCTCTTTGGGCCTGGGTCTCACAGATCTCCCCAGAAGCTTCGGGAGCAAACGCTCCCGCGTTTCCGGTCGTCCACCCGTCCGGCCGCGAACGCGGAGACGCGGTCAACCGTCCAGGTCCCATGACCCACAGCGGATTGATCTTTCAACCGATCGATTGTGCAAAGACCGATCTTTCAGAAGATCGGCTGTGCATTTCGACCTGCAGTCTGCCAAAGACCTATCTTCCATGCATCTATATCAGCTCCAGTGGTTCCAGAGGTTCGATGGCAGATGTCTTGAAAAGATGGGGGGGGTCCTTTCTGAACCACCGACATTGGACCATTTGTGCCATGTGCCATTGAACCTCTGAAACCACAGTAAGTGATGACACCCAATTCACCGGCAGCATGCGGATCAGCACACCCAGCACCAGCTCTTGGCTTAGTGCACTAGAAGTGGAGCACCGGCCACACCCAGCAGCCAGCCGCACCAGCTGCGCGCGCCGCGCCAGCCGATTTGCGCTCCGGAGACGTCCGCGGATGGCGCTGGCTCCACGGCTGTGCCGCATTTGGGGGGCACACGGAGCCCGAACAACCTCAAAGAAGCTCCGAACTGGGAGCTACCCGGGGGTGAAGGACTGGGCAAAGTGACATCGAAGAAGAAGAAGAAGAGGAAGAGGAAGAGGAAGAAACAATAAAGAAACGTGGATGTGATGACCCCCTTGCCCAAGGGAGGCGTTTCTCCATTCTCCACCATCTATGCAACAATCATCGTGGCGACGCGGAGTGAGTGAGTTCACCCCCTGTTTGGTCTTCGGAAAACTCATGGTCATCTCTCTTCCGGGGCGGAAAACCCACTTCCACCATGACACTTGCCAAGCACCGCCTTCATAGGCGGCGGGAAGTTCCGGCTCCGCTCGGTCGGTTCCCTGTGCCACCGGCGACGCTCCGTGCAACCGGTGTCCAAGCAAGACGACAAGCCTCCCTGCATCACAACATCGCCCAGGAACTGTAGTACTCTGTCAATGGACGCTTGCTGCTGCGTACCACATGGTTGAGGCAGCATTGGCCTTGCCACGGGCATCAGGCGTGATGTGTGGATCATGGTGCTGCGGAATGCGGCAAGCCGACCCCCTCAAGTGGATGCGGCCAGCCCCCAGAGCTCCTTTTGAGACATTTGACTGGGACTAGGCTGCATGAAGAAAACCGAACCGGGCTGACCTTTGACATGTTTTTTGCCACGTCTTAGACGCGTGGGTGTTCGTTCAAAAAACCGTCCCAACATCCCAAACCGTGCAATGAACATCTTTGGAATGTTTGTATTAAGTTATATAACTTGTTGCCACCGTTGTCCACCACATCCCCCACATCTCACCCCCACATCAACTCGATTCTGCTCATCCCCCCCGAATCCCCCTTCCTCGCGCCACTCATCCACCGACCCGCCGAACGAACCGAATCGAACTCGCCGGAGCCGCAGGGGGTGCTTCGCTTGGCAGAGCAGGCCGGAGAGCTGGGGGAAGACCTCAGCGATGGGCGGAAGTCAAGGTGCGGTCTGCCAAGAAGGGAATATGTATAAGCTTCGACATCACCATCTTAACCCAGAACGTCCAATTAACTTATATATTTTACCCAGCGGGGGGGAGTCCTACTCCACCACGTCTATGGGGGTATAATCAGTCAAACTTGGACTCCGGAGAATAGAACGAGAACTCGCTGTATGCATTACTCACCTGGTGGGTCAGCAACCACCATGAACAGATTCATGTAGACGTTTGATTCTATTTCAACTCCCCAAGCTTGAAGAGGTTTTACAAGCCAAATGGAAAGGGTTGTGCTTTATTAATCAAGAGTCACCGAACCCCCTTGTGCTTTAGAGGTATCACTGGGTTTTGTGCCCCAGAACCCCTCGGTCCGCCCGCTTCCGTGACCAGGCACTTCCACCTTGGCTCCTGAAACGAGCTCGGGCGCGTCTGTCCAGGCGGATAATTCAGAGAACAACCTGCAGGAGCTGTCGGAAGGCCAGTAGCTGTACGCCTGCCATGGGCCCACGTGCGTTCGACTCCACGTTTGACACCGAACTGCGACTCGACGAGAAAAGGATCGCTTCAACAGACGTTCCCAGGGGTTTGGGGAAGAACAACCTCCTTCACTGAACGACACGAAGTGCTGACCCACTGGCAATGGATTTTGGCCAACGGTGCCAACCTTGCTTCAATAACTTGCGGGAAACCCGAGCCCTTCCAACTCCGAGTAGAAGCTCCGACGCGTGTTGGCGTGATTGACTTGGAAAGAACATCAGAACATTCGGAGGCGCCAATCAATTGCCTGTGGAGAAAACATGAGCTGAGCTTTACTGGTGGGACCCTCCCCCTATTGGTCAAGCTTTGCAACACATAGTTCGTCTTCCTGTTTACACTACTCTTGGTCAATATCTGTGGCCCAGCGGCAGCGGAAGTCGAACGTGGCACCTTCCAAGGGCCGGCCACCTGTTCCCATCCGCGAGGGCCGGCCACGCTATAGGATTCTGTTAGAACATGTTGCAGTGACTGAAGTTCAGAGTCGCATGGACTTGGGGTGGCTTTTGGAGGTCAGGCCCTTCTCGCTTTCGCTGCGAAGTTCGGGGTTCGGGTGCCCCGGGCCTTTGGCTTCCTCCGTGAACGGCACCTCCATCTCGATGGAAACTGCTCGGACTCCCGTGGCTCGGTGGATCCCCCACGAGTCCGCAGCCGGGAGGTCCGAGTCCCCGTGCGCGGCTGGGGAGGGAGAGCGGCTGGGGAGAGCGTGTGTCTGTCCCGCGAAAGGAAAAAAGCCGAGTAAGTGTGATTTATGAGTGTGGTATGATGATCTATTAGTATACAAAATATCTCTGTGTGCCTCGCTCTGTCCGAAAATGGAAGGACACGATCTGCGATCATCGGTGAATCTACTTTACGTACTTCCTCTTGGTACTCCTCCTCCCACCACCCAGGTTCTCCCACCCAAACTCTCTGCCGCCCAAGCCACCGTGCGTGTGACGAGGGCGCTGCTCGCAAAGCTGGCGCCCCAGTTAAAGAGCCCGTCATCGTGTCACATCCTCTTCAGGGCGCGGATGAGACATCCGCGCATGAGAAATCCGCGGAGGAGGGGGCGAAAACGGTCCGTTGAACACTTGGATCTGGAGTACTCCAGATCCAAAGACCCACTGAAATGGAGCACCTGCAGATGTGGTTCGAAACTCTTCGCAGCAGATGTGGTGTTTTGTTCTTTCGGGTGCTGTAAGTTCCCACAAGGGGTTCGTGAGAGAGTTTTTTCCGCTGGGATGTTGATAGTTGTTCAGAATTGGCTTGCTCTGAGTTCACGAACGCATGAAGTCAGGAGAGCATGTCCAAAGGCCACTTTGCACCGTTTAGAATCTTCCAAAGAAGCTGCCGGACCTCTGTTGCTGATTCGAAGCTGCTGCAACTCTCACACAGCCTTCGCACATCATGGAACACCCCCGCAACACAAAAACGAAGGGCGTTGTCTGGAGGGTTTTCGGCCAACTTGCCAGATGTTCTGGCCAGTCGGCGGGGCTTTCCACCCAAAATCCTCCGATCCGGCCCTTCATTCAGCCCAGCATCCACAGAAGCGCGGCGCCTCCCATCGCCCCAGGCGTCTCGGGGAGCCCAGGTGAGGAACGAAACGAGCAGAGAGACCAGCGCCATGCCGCTGCCGTGGTGGGCTGTGTGGGGTGGTCTGTTGGGGATAGAGCGAACGGGTCCATGAGCCGTGGCGCAAGCACAGGGAACACGTCATTCCTGTTCTTTTCAACAGTGAGGGTCGATGCTTTCGAGGACATCGATCCTAAATTGATCATATATTAATTGATATCTCTTGATCCACCCGTTTCCACGTGTCGACGGTCTTTCATGATCAGCTCGAGATGCGAGCGAAGGACGCAACTAAAGGCGGCGGGATTCGGTTGGTGTGGACATTGACAAACAAACTGACAAACTGACTCTGGGTAGCTTTGTAACATGTTGTAACCCGGTGATCGAAACTCTTATCCAACTGAATTGTCTGAATTCCAAGATGTCAAAACGGAGTCGACGTTCCGTTCCTGGCACTTACAAGAACCGACGCGCTTTTCGGCCAAGACTCAGAAAGACCTGGGTCTTCCTTAAGAAGACTAGGCTCTTTGGGTTTGAGGTCACTGTCACTGGTCATTTGCTGTTTCAGCCATCCTTTGGAGACACCTTCCCTGAAAACGGAAGATGTCTAGGTTTACTGCACAAGCTCAGAGGCTTTGCGCCACTCCTGCCAGCAACGAGCACCAGCCACTCCAGTGGTTCCAGCTCGAACTGGCAGATGCCGTCACGTCCGATGACAAGCCAGGGCCGGGCGAATTGGAGCATTCCGTGCAGACGGCGCCGGCACAACCTGAGGCGCAGCAAAAGTCTACAGGAGATCCCAAGGTCTATGGGCAACAAGGGATTGTTGACGGGCGACAAAGGACACCACGGGGAGACGGGAGTCGACGGACTGGGCAGGTTTCTCCCGTCCGCCTGTTACCAAGGACGGGCAGGTCGGCCCTAACCTCCGGAAGCGGTTGGAAATCAAGGAAATCCAGGAAGGGCCAATGTAGACTCAATCGACTCATCAAATTGAAGAGCTTTTACAATGGGGAGGAGGAAGCTTTTCTCTTCCCCGCGAAACCTGTCTCCATCCATCCCACCCCCAGCGCCTCCAGCACCTCCAGCGCCCTCCCCCGTCCATCCGTCTCGTGCCGGCCCCCGTCTCGATGG